ATATGGTAACAGAGGAACACATTTCAAATTGAAGCTTCTGATAGATGGAGCAGTGGTGTCTGTGGCAAGGGCTGAGAATGCCCCGTAGCTGTCAGGAGGCCCTTAGCACGCGCCATGAGCCATCTCAGAAAGCATCCCTAGTCCCAGTTGAGGCTCCAGCACATGACAGGACAGCGAGGATCACACACACTTCTCCTGCCCAGCCAGCAGCTAGCAACAAGCTGAGAGTACCTTGAAAAACGCCCTCAGCCAGCACTCAGCCTGAGTGCCATCACCTTGTGCAAAGGCAACGGTGGCCAAGAGCTCAGCTGTGAGTCAGCTGAAATTATCTCATAGCTGCTGTTTAATGCCTCCTGAACAGAGGATTTCTGTACACACTCATTGCACCCCATGTCTCGTCACAAAGATGCATTTTAATTTCTCCCTCTTTTGCTTATGTGAATGCTTTGAGAATGTCTGTTGTTCTTGAGTGCTGTGCTTCACATGCATGCAAGACAGTTCCCTTTTGGCCACTGTTTACTCCTTCTTGTTTTAAAGACAATAATTCAGTTAAGGAGAGAAAGCAAAACTGAGAGGTAAGCAAAGTCACAGCCAACCATAAAGGAATTATGAAAGTCAAGAATTCTCCTTTCTTCCCTGATAGAGCAAATACTCATGAAAGCAATTAAAAAGAGAGGGAGAATGAATGGTCGTTCCTTCCAGATCCTCTGAACAAAGATAGAGCTTTTTATTAAATTTAACATACTTCAAGAAAGTTTGTATTTGTCAAGATGCTTACTTTTTTAAAAGAAAAATTAAAAATATGAAATGTAAAACTTATTCTGTAGCCAAAACACGATGTGATATCCTTTTCTGGAGGAAAACCTTGGGATAAGGGCATGCTTTTGCAATCAGGCTGGATGTGTAAGTGGAAAGCTATTTGCAGAAAGTTTACTGTGATAAGAGATGCAACAAGTACATTTGGCAAGGTTTTTTATCAGAGACGTCCTGCACAACTCTCCCACCACCACAAAAAACTGCCTCACAACCCCCCCCCCCAACCAGACCCGCACTAGATGATGTAAGATAGTATGTAGTATACCCCCACCTATCTCTGGGATGGAATAATTTCTTGTATTCAACCACTTCAATGAACATGTAAATTCTTCCTTCAAAGCCTTTTCCCTCACCCTTTGCTAGTGGCCAGCTGTGTCTTGTCTTGTCTTGCTGTCCTGGAGAAAAAGCTGGGGATGGTTCCTGTGCCTTTGTGGTCAGTAGCAATGTACCTTCCAGGGCAGATCTTTAGTTTTACATGGTCACGATGATATTTCCTGTGGCAGCACATGCTAGCTGATGCATTTACCTGTGTATCAACAAGAAAAGAGAGAAAAAATTGATCAGACTTGGCTCAAAGCAGGAGTCCATCATTCCGTTCTTACTTACTGGCTTTGCTGATTCATTCCTGGCTGTGAGAGGCTGCCGCCCTGGCAGAGCGGCAGTACCTTCCACCTCGTGGCTCTGCAGCACACGGTGCATGCCCACAATTTCACTTCATAGCAGGCTGTGAACCACAGCAACTGAGGACTCTGATACACAGCTGCAGCTAAGTTATCAGCACTCAAAGACTTTCCCCCTGGCTACAAAGGGAGATAAATTCTTCAACAGCCACAACTAAATCCCAAACAGATCATGCATCAGGGCCCTAAAATATCAAACTTGGGATTAAGAGCCCTGAACATTTTTCACTGTCCTTTCAAACTGCTTTTGCCCTCCTCCAACTTCAGAAGCTAGCCCTTCAACCACAAGACAAAAACAAGACGAAATAGGAGACATTACTTCATAGTCATAGCTGCCTGACTCTGCTCAGCAGATTGGCATCTCTGCTCTTTACCGAAACAGCTCCGCTCTTCGGAAACAGGAAAGCCACACTTTAACACGAAACTGCCACTTGTGCCCCATGTAGAAACGAGCCCAGAGAACAAAGGTTTAGCAAGAGAAGTTACCTGTTCAAAACAGTTCCACACAACGTGGTTACCCATGTGGAAAGGCGATTTGGAGTGTATTCCCAGGTCCTGAGCAAAGAGGGTGCCGGTTTCATGGTAGGGTCAGGTCTGCACACAGTGGGATCTGATGCAGGAGACCAGTGCAAGAACGACCATGAAGTTGGGATCCTGCCTCACCCATATCTTCTTTGCTAAGAATTAACTGTAGAAAAAAGCCTCGTCCTATACTTGGGTAAAGGATAAGGAAGCGAATAGAATAGAATAGAATAGAATAGAATAGAATAGAATAGAATAGAATAGAATAGACTATTTCAGAATAGAATAGAATAGAATAGAATAGAATAGAATAGAATAGAATAGAATAGAATAGAATAGAATAGAATAGAATAGAATAGAA